TTACATGCCAGTTTTTTGTACATGCCAACTATGAGAACAATTGTCATGTACATGAACCATGGTTGTTACATGCCAGTTTTTTGTACATGCCAACTATGAGAACAATTGTCATGCACATGAACCATGGTTGTTACATGGCAGTTTCTTATATATGCCAACTGTGAGAACAATTGTCATGTACATGAACCATGGTTGTTACATGCCAGTTTTTTGTACATGCCAACTGTGAGAACAATTGTCATGTACATGAACCATGGTTGTTACATGCCAGTTTTTTGTACATGCCAACTATGAGAACAATTGTCATGTACATGAACCATGGTTGTTACATGACAGCTTTTTATATATGCCAACTGTGAGAACAATTGTCATGTACATGAACCATGGTTGTTACATGACAGTTTCTTGTATATACTGATCATAGCATTTCATGGGTGCTAAATGATCATTTTGTTTATATGTACTTAATATATAGCTTGTTATGCACATGTGCCAAGGGTGTTACATTGTTTGATGTGATTGTGTCACATTTTGCAGTGCAATATACAACAAAACACAAAGCCTATATTGATAACTTTTTAGGGGTTATAAATGGCTAGGGTATTTGGTAGTGTATACAAGACATATTTTGCAATAATAACCAAGAATAAGCAAAGATATTATCTGCCCAAAATATACCGGGTACAACTTTTGTATCATACCTTCATTATTTGGTTGTCTAATTCAGTTTTCTGCAGTGGACAAAACTCTTGCATTAATTTTAGAATCAAAGTAATTCTGTCATAGTCATAGTAATTGACCTAAAATTGAAAAAAAAACACAAATAGTTATTCAACTGCAGATTTGTTTGACATTTAAAACACAATCAAAGGGTCCAAAAAATAAGGAACTAATATTTGCTTGATACCTACCCTGTCAAGAATGTCCTCCAACTTGCATTTTAATGTATCTAAATTAACCACTTGGAGTATGACTGATCTGATAAGAGTTTCATCCAATGGTGTCTCACTCGTATTACCATAGTCCATGTGTTTGTCAGACAGCAGTAATGTTTCAAGATACAGCCACAATGCCTCATCAATGTTAAGACCAAAGTCTCTGTCAGAAAACACAAAACATGTGTTTTGATTCAAGTGCAAATCTAATGGTATGATTTATATCAATGACACCCAGTTTGAAGTTGTATTGTCTGTAAAATTTAGCACATCATTAAGTTTCTTGCTAAACACATATGTAGATTCAGTTGTGATTTTTAGCATCTTAGCAAGTCATGAAGTCACAAGCGAGATATGTGATCTACTTAGTACAAATTAGACTGATTACATAATGCGACTGTAAATGTCTTACCTGCAGTAATCTTTCAGCATGTCAATATTAACATTCTTATGTTCTATTATTTGTGGAAGTAGATTTTGATAATTAACAGTTCGATCAGTGTTAAATGCTTCTTGAAATAAAATCTATAAATTAAAACATATTATAGTTACCTGCGGTACAGTGCAAAGGCTAGCCTGACAAGGTCGTGCAAGTTGCGCCCTTCGTAGTGCTCCAAATCCAACACACGCCTGACAGAACAATGTAGTTTTTCACTTTCCCATTGATTTTTTGTTGGTACCAATCAAATTGCAGGAATGTCAGATAGTGACAGCCATCAAAGAGTAACCATTCACAGAAGAGTAACCCGACAAGGTCACACAAGTTGCGCCCTCCGTGTGATGTTACCATGACCACCAAAATGAATTCATTGAAACTCATTGCAAGAAGGCATGAACTTTGTGAATTCACAGTATTGACTTGCCAACGACACATACACTATTCAGACAGGAGTTAGTGAGGTCGGATGCCGTTCGGCCGGTGAGGCCGCAATTCACACCTACATGTCAGGCTACGAAAAAGCTACCTCCTTGAAGTCTGACTTAGAATATTTGAATTAGATTTGTGTCCATAAAAATGCTTGATGCTAATGTAATCATATTTGCCATGTTTCAAAGTTTTTCTTTCACATTTTTCTCCTGGCATCTCATAAAAGCATACACTTTTCATATTTGTCATGTTTTGCATTTTGAATTTTTGACTTGCATGATTCATACTTGTTCGTCAACTCGAAAAGTACGTTTTGTATTTTGACTTGCATTTTTGGTTGGCATTAACATTCTGGAAGTTATCTCCAAAGGGCTTTCATGTTTCACACTTTCAAAAGAATTGCAGTTTTTGACTTGTTAAGCACATTCTGTATTTTGTATGTTGGCATGTTTGCTACCAATCTCATCTGAAAAATACCTTACTTGCACATTCAACAATTTTGTTAATTTTATTTTCTATTTCATTTAACTGTTCAGTAAATATGTGAAGTATGCAAGTCAAATAGGTAAGAGACGTCATAGGTGGATGATAATGTTGGTGTTCTTACCTGCAGTTGACTAAGGCGAGAACCCCAAGATGATTTGGTTGCCATCTTCTTACAATGTGAAACCAAATCACTATCATTGTATAACAAAGCCAACTCTTCACTGACTTTACTGACAGCCTGTCAAAAAGAAATGAGAACACCATTTGTTACTTCTATATATATTTATATACATTTAAAACATATTGTAAAATGATTTTGAAAGCCCAGCCATACTGACATCCCTATAGCAACTCTTGCCTAGTGACATAAAATATAACACAAGATATACTTACAGTAACTTTATTATAATTATATCCTGCTGATGTACTGATACTCTTTAGTTTGTCCAAGGCTTTCTCCTTTGTTAAAATACAAGCATATCCCAGTGCTAATGAGATGTCCACCTTTCTACTCCCAAAAATCTATGCAAGAAACATTTAATTTTTTTAATTGCCCTCAAAACTTCAAAGATAATGGCTATATGACAAAAAGATTGTGCAGCATCAATTTTCAACAAGAGTAAGCTTGTTTGGACCTGAGCACTAAACTAAGCACCTACATACCTTCAATAGAAGATTGGATGTATGTTCCTGTACCATCACATTTCCTTTAGATTTTAGTTGTGCCATGATTGAGTCCATTGCTTGTGAACTAATAGCATCCTAGTGATAGACAGGAATGAATGAATAGATGTAAACACATTATAGACTATTACTGTACATGTAACTGGGTTTGGTTATCAGTATCTAAGTACATTGTATAAAATAAAAACTTTTATTTAAACAAAACATGACACTTTAATCTTGTATCTTTAAATTTCATTGAATTAAATGTCAATAATGAACAAATCAACTTTCAAAATGCCAACCAACCTATCATAAAGGTAAAAAAAAATCATATTTACTCATTCTATTTTATTTTTCATGTTTCAATTACTTGTATTTGCATGTAACATTTTTTTTATTGTTCCGGCTGCGGTAAATAATGTAATCAAAAAGTCCATTGCCTACATTTTCAACAAAAATACAAGATTTCATGTCTCCATTCTTTGTTGTTACATGTAGAGCCTGGAGAACATGGAAGTGTTGTTGGTATTTCATGAAACATGCAATATCACTATTTTGTAAGTATTTTGAAACATTCATTTTACATGTACGCCACACTAAGTTCAAAAATCAATACCTGGCTGGCAGTTGTAATAAAAGATGAACACACACACATGAATATATCAAAATGTTTCAAAGAATGAAATGAGACGTTAACTTACTGAAAAACCCATATTTCGACTGGTGCTGTACAAAACAAATTCAGATATTGTCTTTAAAATGTAAGCCATTCCAAGACTATATAGACTGTTTTCTTGGAGTAGTGAAACCATTTCCCATGCTATATGGCTAAGATCCATCAGATGTGGTTGGCTTTCTTGATCTGAAATAATAAATGACTTTAATAAACATGTTCAGAATGATATATACAACAGAATCAGATACTGAATTCAAACATTTGTACAACTCAACTCAACTCTACTTACCACTAAGGTCATTAATACTCTGACCAATCAATCTATCATGTTCATAAGGCAGTCTATCTACTACTGGTCTAATTCTAGGAATACAACACATATTGAATAGATTTGACAATGGTATAGCAATACTTGAGTCTAATACCAATCCATCCTCTTTGAAGAAATCATTATAGGTCCATTCTATATACGGATCTCTTTGAAATCCTGGAATATTGCTTGCTGTGCTCTGTAAAAATTAATCAAGCAACAATCTTATATTGTGTTGTTTCTCAGAAGAGAGAAATACATGTATATTCAGTAATACTAAGTAATACCAACAGATAATCATGTTTGTAAAAACATTGCTGAAGATGCACATCATTTTCAGATAATCACATTGCATTATTTCATCCAATCAACAGTTCACATCATTGCCCAATTTGAAGCACTCCCAACTAACCAGCATATTCTCATCCCCTAGTCTGCACCACATATCAACATTCTAACAATTCATTTCAGTACAACTTTTGCTTCAATAGACAAATGATTTCATCCTGACTAAGTATTCCAGGGTCAGGCAGCTTCTAGTCATTCTCTGGAGGGCCACAAGACCGCAGTGTTTTGAATTGTCAGTCTCCTTTGCTAATAAGATCAGTGTTGACACTGGTGGGGGTTTCTTTAGGGTGGCCCAATGCCAAATAAGTTTTTGCATTGTTTTTCAGTAGCTAGCGCAGGTGCCATAGTCTTTATTTCAAGTGTAGTCTTTTTTATTATGCTCAGTATTTAATTTTACGATGCTTGTTTTTTGCTTGATTTTTCTTGCGCGCGCGTGCGTGCGTGCGTGCGTGCGTGCGTGCGTGCGTGCGTGCGTGCGTGCGTGCGTGCGTGCGTGCGTGCGTGCGTGCGTGCGTGCGTGCGTGCGTGCGTGCGTGTGTGTGTGTGTGGAGTGTTTTTTATAATACAAACCTGTACAGTGACACCATAATCTCCACTTTCACACTGCTGGAATATTTGATCAGTGAGGCGAGTACACTTACACAACTCCATACAATCACACAGCATATCTGAACAGAGAGACAATGTAAAAACAATGTAAGCAATGTAGAAAAAAGAAAAAAATTGTCACTTGATCTTTAAAAGCATTCTTCGATAAAAATGTTGATAGATTTGTATTGTGAATGACAATGTCACAGTGAACAATACAGGAACACAATTATAGGCAAGCATTTGGTTTACAGTAATTACGTTAGATCTAGAAAACATACAAAAATAAGGTACTGTACTTGCTCTATTAGTAGCGCATACACTTAGATAATGACAGCAGTGTGTAATAAGTAATATATAAATGATTCAGTATATAGTTAATGCAATGATGGTTTACATGACATGTGCTTTTATTGGAGATGCACTTCTTTTAGTGCATGTACAGACAGTATATGTACAATGAAGAAATCAATTCATCTACTGTAATGTCTAAAATATCAACATTTTTGTTATGTCACTCAGTTCTTATGAAATCCTGTTGACTGCAAAAAATAAATAATAGCTTTGAACAAAGTAAATTTGTCACATTAATGCTACCATTTCGGGAACAAATTTTGTTTGATTTTAACACTGAATTCTGTAACTTGTAGAATTGTAGTTTAAAGATCCAATAGCACAAAAACGAATAATATCTAAGATATATTATTAGTTATTTCAGTGGTTACTTACCAGTATGACATAAAAGAGCAGCATGGCAAGCCAACTGATAGATTTCATGTGAAAACCACTTATCTGTTTTGCTGTCATCACTTTGTAATTTACACAAATAATATGCAACAGCATACAAGACTTGACTCGTCTTTGCATCAGGCACCAATTCATATAATTCACTGTAAACCAAATAAAACCAAGAAAATGGTAACAAAATAACAACAAAGTGACAATTGTTTTTTTTGATAGTTCCTATTTGAACATCAGTTTATTTTGTGATTGATTCACAAAGACCAACTAATTAACATTTTTTGGGGGGGGATTCAATGATATTACTCAAACTGACTGTCATTTTCAACTGAAGAAATATGAAAACTAATTTTACTGACGCCTGTCACTTTCTTTTGAGATTTGTTTGAAAATGGCTATTTTGTCATATTTTTTATTACCTATTTTGCTGAAACAAATACACACTCATTAATTTTGTTTGCAATGTGATAAAATTTGCCTATGTCTATAATTGAATTGAACATTTCTACTTATAATTTAGGAAGCAGATCAAAATCACCTTGTCAGTATTTGGGCCAGTCCTCGCTGGACGCAGACTATCATAATACTGTCCCGTTCATAATAGAGCCGGCCTACACTAACCCTAATCTAATGCAAAGTACAGTGTGTTTACATATTCATTAGAAATTAACACAAAATTACTACAAACATTGTGGTGCGCCGGGAACCCCACAGGAAGTTGGTACAGTTTTTTGTTCATTGACCTTGCTGTTAGTATAGCAGGTTCGTTTTGTCAAATATCATTTATGGATTTCCAGACGTCTAATCGGAGTTAAGATTGGTAGAAATATATTCACTGCATGCATTACAAAACAGACATTTGTCATTTGACACATTTTGCTCTGTTTGTCGTGGTCTAGACAGATTGCACATGTATTCTGTTGTATATGAATCAGTCTGGCTTGTACTATGAACACTGTGGTGCCGAGTACCGAGTGAAGCTGGATGCATGGCATGATTGTGGGCTGTTTTTTTTCTGTATCAATTAAATACTTAAATTATAAAATATACATGTAGATGGTTTTGAAATAGGCTGAGTTTATCAGCCACTGCCAGCATCACAAACAGAATGTCGTCATGACGTACCAAGACGTTAAACCACCAAAATAGGTGGCAGGAAAAGAGTTGATGGTTATAGACCTGGTGCAGGGTAGCCTTACTGCACATGTGATAGACCTAGTCAACATAATGCAGGGCCGAGATGAGAGAATTGTTGTGGGAGTACTTGATGAAGATAGTGGGAACTGGCCAGGAAACTGGCAAGGTGATTTTGATCAGCTCCTTTATTATTATAACAAAGACCATGGTTAGAGGCAGAAACGATTTTGATCAGTTATTGCGTTAAAGGTGAACTTGCATTTCAATAACTTCATAGTAAATAATTTCAAACGTCATTGACAGGAATCTGGTAACACACTTGGGTTGTTGGGAGATGTTTTAATATATTACTGAAATAAAATATTTGAATATGAAGCAATTTTAGTTATGCGGGCAGTGAAAGATGAACCAGTCATTGTCTTTTCATCACCAGTATTCACTACGAGACATGGATAATTAAGACACACACATGGCAAACTAAATCTCTTTGTTGAACCTTCAACCCACTCCCTGTGGAAAATGTGTTGTTAGTTATTACAGCATTAACTAGAACATGACCATTAAATGTCACATAGATTTCAACTGTCTCAGCATTAAAATTTTTTTTGCATAATGGGATTAAATTGTGACCTGTACATAATATATATTCATTCTTGCCATTTCATGTGAAAACAGGTGGTTGTATGAAATGAACAAATACAATTTTTGCGCAATCATTGAAATCACCTTGACCCCCCCCCCCCCACCCAAACAAAGAAATCTTGTTTGTGATGTGCATGCTTTAATGATCTATGCCCCCTTACTTGGACATCTTAATAGCAGTTTCAATTTGTCCATTCCTTGCAGCTTCTATAGCCAGCTGACCTCTCAAATCATTAGAAGACGTCTGTAATAACTCGGCTAATCTGTAAAAAAAATATCAGTGCAGAGTTTATTAGTACAGTCCATGTTTCTGATCTGAAAAATAAAAGGTCCCATAATGTTGTATGTGTGTATAATATTTAAAAAAAAAATTTCCTATGCATGACAAAGACCTAGTTTCGGAATTGCAGAAATGCTTGATTTCAATGAATATTTAGCACTAAAATGGCCACTATTTGGCCATCTTGAATCAGATTGCATTAGCTGCACACAAATTTCAGTATGCTGGAACGGAAGCTTATAAATAAGTTATCCTTTTCAAATTTTACTATAAAACATATAGCAGTATAAAAGTATATAATTGATTATGACTGTACCTATAGATTCTATTGTATCCTGTATTCTGTGTCTTAGCAGGCTTCTTATCACCAGAAGCAACCTGAAATGAAATATACAAAATTTATTTTTATAATATTTTTGTTTCACATGATTTAGTCTTTCAACATGCATATAAAATGAGCAAGTCTATTCTAGCTAATTAATGGGAGCCACCAACAGGCTGACACTATGTCTGCGGAAAATTATCTTTGTATACTGGTAAATTGAATAACTGGACCACGACAAGTTGCTGAAAGTGCCTATATATCAGCACCTATAAGTGCCTAGATATACACACATCACAGACAATGTCCTCTGTACCATTTGAGCTAAGATTAGAGAATGACATTTTTATCAGTAATAACAGTTGTTACAGTGAATAGAAAAACATTATTATAAATGTTTTAACACTTCTGTAATTTGGGTCTGGAGAAATTTGTTTAGCAGTTATTTTATTCACATGTGTCTGGCAACATTATTTTTTCATTCATACTTTTTTTTTTAAATTTGATTACATTAATTTGGTCGTAGTGAAATTTTGTTTGATGACCAATTTTCATTTTCCAAAGTCCTGCAGCCCATCTTCCCTTTTCAGATGGGAGAAGTCCAATTTCATGATCCCTGGACCCTAAAATAAAATACAGTATCATGGAAATACATATAATGAATATGCATACAAAAAAAGTTACTGAAAAAAAAAATTAAAACAACACCTTTGACATTGTATGACTATTCTTTCCACTAAAGAAATCTACAAGATAACTTGTTAGGATTTCATCTCTCAAAGTTGGGTTTCTGTAAGTATCCAGTGTCAAAAATATACTGTACTGCCTCTGAAAATAAACATATTAAATAAAATACAATGAGGCAAAGTGATATTGAATGCATCAGGTAATTAATATGCACAGATTTGAGAGTAAAACTAATAAGCTCTGCGCAACGTCACATACCAACTATGTACTATATTTTATTGAAATGTGCTTAGAACAAGTCATTGTCAATGACACGTCCCAGTTCCGTTCATATTTGAGTGACATATACATTCAAAGCAGATCATGACCGAAATGCACCTGCATATGTACAACACATTGTACTAAATCTGAACAAAATCCATGCATGCATGACTGAGATCCGGTTCTGGAATTGTGAAAATACGTGATTTTAATGCATTTTCGGCCTTAAAATGGCCATCATTCAGCCATTGCTAAGCGGATCATGAAACAAATGCACATATCTATTTGTGACATGATGCACCATGTGTGTGTGAAGTTTGAACTTGATAAATCCAGACATGTCTTGGATACGGATCCAGAACTGAATTCTTTAAGAAAATGGCCGCCAGTCGGCCATTTCGAACTTGATCCGAAAAAAAAAATGACGTGCATCAAGGTCCTATTATGTTTAATGTAAGTACCGAATTTGAACAAAATCCGTCCATGCATAACTGAGATCCGGGTTCGGAATGGTGAAAATGTGCCATTTTGATGCATTTTCGGCCTTAAAATGGCCGCTATTCGGCTATCGTTAATCGGATCATGAAAAAAATGCATGTGCATATGTCCCATATAATGTGTGATGTATGAGTGAAGTTTGAACATAATCGGTCCATGCATGTTCGAGATACAGGTGATCACGGACGCACGGACGCACGGACGGACGCACACAGGGCAAAACATAAGTCCCCGTTTTCGGACTCCGTCCGAACGGGGACTAATCAAAAAGATTATAAATTATTATGCTAATTAGGTGATTAAGATGCACAAATATTTATAAAAACGAATCAGGTCTCTGCATAGTCCTAGAACATATATGTACCAAGTTTCATTGAGATGTGATGATTAGTACTTGAAATAATAAAAGCTGAAACTTTATTAATTATGCAAATTAGGTGATTAGTATGCACGGATATTAACCTAAAAACTATCAGGTCTGTGCATTGTCTTATGCCATCTATGTGCCAATATTTATTGAGATGTGATGATTAGTACTCAAGATATCAGTAGAAAAGTCAAAATTAGTAAGCAAAATTTGTTACCCAAAACTAATCAAAACTGTGCATTAGTCCAGAGCATCTGTGTACCAAGTTTCATCAAAATCTAACGAATGACACTTTAGATATCAGTGGAACAGTTATGAAACAGCAAAAATTAGCTAATTATCATGCAAATTAGGTAATTAATATGCATGGTTTCCACCAAAAACTAAAAAAATCTGTGCATTAGCCCACATCAAGTTTTATTAAAAACCAACATGTGGTTCTTGAGATACCGGATGGATTCACATACAGACATACTAACTGCAAAGACTCCCATTGTGTGCTTTGCACACGAGAGTCAAAAATAACTACTGAATACCTGTAAAGATAGAATACATTTCAGCTGTGTCAGCAGTGTTTGTAAATCTCCTTGAATTGCTGGCTCTTCTTCTATCTTTATTAAGAACTGAATAACAGCAATACCAGTTTCCGTAAATGTGACTTTCTCTTCATGCTGGCACTGAAAATAATAATTGTTTAAGATGTAGTACAAATTATTTGAGTCTCAAGCAAGTATTCTCTTATGATGGTATTCTGTTTTTTTTAACTGACCTCCAAATATTCATCTGTTTCCTCTTCCTCAGCATTGAGCACAGTAAGACAATATATTAACAGTCTGTTAGCACATTTTATACAATCAGCTTTTGGAATCACTTTTAACAAATCTATACATTCCGGTATCTAGATGAAAATGAACACAGTGAACATTACGAGGTATGTAAATCTGTCGAAATGGACATAGTGCGAGTGGTTAGTGCTAGTAGCACTAATCCGAAAAACTACTAGATCTAGTGCTAAAATGGCACTAGATCTAGTGCTAAAATGGCACTAGATCTAGTGCAAAAACGGCACTAGATCTAGTGCTAAAATGTACATAGTGCGAGTGGCATTGATATTGCGTTGTCAACGACGTCAAGACATCCCGTGATTCTCTGAAAATAAATTAATATTTACGTAAAATTGTTGTATCTTTCATTCATTGGAAATGTGCTACAGTGGGAAAATTGAGAATGTCATTGTCCACGTTTGTCGTATACTAATAGACCTTTGGAACACGCGATCGGCCGGGAAACTAGCTGAAACAGTGAAACTGCAGGTCGAACT